GATGATTCGGCACATGATGCGGAGGAAAACAGGGAGGAGGATCAGAGTACACTCAAGACGTGCCAACGATCCTGCAGTGCGGCGCCCGTCCCGAGCCACCGCCTTATCATTTCAAGAGGGGAACACCAGACACGGGCACAAGCAAGCGTCCCTTCCCTCGAAACCATTGGCAGGTCTGGGAAATGGAAGGGAAGACACGAAGCATCCACAGCACCTGTAACGCGGCAGGGAATCCTTGGACTTCTGTCGACGCCTTGGTGGGTCCCCGGGCCCCCTCATTATTGCGCGAGGCGCCCCCCCCCCCCCCTCGTGAGAGCCGATGGTCCCCTCGGGCGCCCCGTGTGAGCGGGCGGGAGCCCCGTTCTGAGGGGCGCTGTCCTGTGCGCCTGGAGCTGTACGGGCCGGAAGGCGGCAGGGAACTGCCCGGGCCCAGCGACGGCCTCGCTTTTGCAGAGGAGCAGCGTTCCGTCTGCGCAGGCGGAGGGGGAGAGGAGGAGGAAGAGGAGGAAGAGGAGGAAGAGGAGGAGAAGGAGGCGGAGGAAGAGGAGGAGGCGAAGAGATGGAGGAGGAGGAGGAGGAGGAGGAGGAGGAGGAGGAGGAGGAGGAGGAGGAGGAGGAGGAGGCACGGGCACAGTTTGGAAGGCACAGGAGGAGGAGGAGGAGGAGGAGGAGGAGGAGAGGAGGAGGAGGAGGAGGAGGCGGAGGAGGAGGAGGAGGAGGAGAAGGAGGAACACCACGGGGATGAGGCAGAGGAGGTGGCACAGGCGGAGTCGGAGGCAGAGAATGGGAAGTAGGAAGAGGAGGAGAAGGAGGAGAAGGAGGAGGAGGATGTGGTAGTCTAGGGGCGCTGAGGAACAGATATCTCGCCTTCTGGGTGGCTCCTCCGCCCGCTGTGCCCTTTTTTCATGTCTACTCTCACAGATCTCCTAGTTTGATCACTCCCGTGAGCGACCGCCCACAGGGAGGGGTCATGGCAACGTCGACCCCGACCTCCATATCACCAGCCCGAGGAGGGAGTCTGGTCCGCAGGGGGCGAGCGAACAGGTGCTTTGGCAATTTCGTGGATCTTTTTCGTTCTGATTTCGCTTTGCAGCACAGGCGGAACGAACAGGGAGCAACTGTATGATTTGGTGGAGAATGGTTTGATGACCTTGCAGCCAGAATCCACTCTGGTGCAGTCGCGCCAGCGATGCTTCAACGAGATCGCCGACCACATTGCGGACTACACCATGGATGTCCAGCATTCTTGGTGCCAGACGTTTGTACCTTTTGAGGACAACAGGTCTGTGTAGACGGCGAGCTATGCCATACACTTCGACGGGGAACCCGTGCAAACAGGCGTTCATCAGCCGCATGGTACGTCGAAGCCCATGTGCCGATACCGAGTGGGATGGGGTCGTATCCACACTGCATAGCGGGACGCTTCATCAGCACACCAATCTCTTCCTGTATTGCCGAGGCCATCGCTTTGGAAGAAGCCGTGGACCTGACATGGGAGCTTCTGAGAAGTGATCAACCCGTGATATTCCTAGCAACCTCGAATCGTCATTCACAGGCCAATGCCATCGTGCACTATGCCTCGGGAAATCAGAGCCCCGAATCATCAGGGGTAACTCGGGTCAGGGTTAACTCGGGTTCGTTTTTCGGGAATCCGAACCCGAGTTATCCCAGACCCGAGTTACCCCGGAAAATTCGGGCGTCCAGAGTCCCATATCATCAGGGGTAACTCGGGTCAGGGCTAACTCGGGTTCCGTTTTCGGGAATCCAAACCCGAGTTACCCCGGACCCGAGTTACCCCGGATAATTCGGTAGCCCAAGGAAAGGAAGAACGAAGCTGTTCAGCTCGAACCCTGCTGGGTTGCTCTTTCTCAGCCTCGGCCCGCGGACGCGTCCTGGAGGCCGGTCAGGCCCAGGACCTCGAGCCGGATCCAGCGCCGCTGCGCCAGGGGCGCTCCCAGTGGACCCCTCGGAGGTGGATAGACCTCCTACCCTGACACGTCGATTAGTGAATTGGCCGTTTTCGGTTCGCGAGAGGGCCTCGCGGCCGTCGTTTTTGCGGGTCCAGGTCCGTCGTTTCTGTCCCAGGCCATTTTCACTAAGGGGAGGTCTATTAAAGGGAGGTTTGTCCACCGCCGACCCCCCCCCCAAAGCATGCGAAAAGATCGATGCCCTCACTTCGGCACGATCGCAAAAGGGATTCCCCGTGTCCCAAAATAAAGGGGGAAGGTCACAATTTTCCCAGAGGAGCAACCTCTAGACCACCCAGACGCGCCAGGAAAGGGCGTTTTTTCCAGCCCCCTGGAATCCTCCAAGACAGCGCAACTCGCACCCCCGCCAAGGCAGACCACCCCTTTTTGAAGTTGAAGTGAAATCTGGAGTGCGTTAAGAAGAAGGGGAACGAAGACCGACTGCAGTTCCTGTGCAGTTGAACAGGGCACGCTGTCGGCGTCGCTGCGGGCGTTGTCAATTTGAGACAGAATGTCGCCTGCCCAGCAGTGGCCACTGCTGGTTGTGCACAACATTTGTTGCTGGGTATCTTGACCATATCTTCGCACACATATATCAGGACTTCAAATCATCCCTCCCTCCGTCACCCCGCAGCCCCCCCCCCCCAGGACGACGTGTGGAAGCCACTGCTGAAGCAGCGTCCCCTCTTGATGGACCCGGTATCCGCGGGGGATCCCCGTCGTGCGAGGAGGAGGAAAGAAGAGGCCGAGGAGGCGGCGGAGCAGGAGGAGGCGGGAGAAGTAAGGAATGACAAAAACGATGCAGCGAAGAAGTGGGAAGGCTGACGCGGAGCACCAACGTAAACCCACGACGCATCAACGAGGTTGCAGCAAAACTTTCTTCCACTTTCCTTCTCCTTGGGGTTTATTGGACTACATTTCAATTGCAGGAAATTTCCCATTGGAAGACGACCGTCTGAGAATCTTTATTCAGGCGAAAGCGCAACTCCTGGGATTCAGCTTCGCGAGCAACCGTGACTCTTGCGTTTTTCGCCACGAACCAACGTGATGACACAATTCTGGGGATTTCGACCCTGCGAATATTTGAAACTTGAAAAAAAAAACGAATGCGAGCGACGCTGAGGCGAGAACCACATTTTCGAAAGGACCCGCTTCATCCGTGAAATTGTTGCAATTTTGGAAACGATTGAGCGCGGCGCTAGGCGAGAACCATGTATTGAAAACGGCTCACCTTACATCCATGAAACTGTTGCAAGCTTTTTGGAAGAATGTACGCGGCGCGAAAGCGAGATCCACATGTTGAAAAGGACCCAGCCTGCACCTTGGAGCCGCTGCAAACTGTAAGACGAATGTGCGTGGCGTTGAGGCGAGAGCCAGATTTTGAAAACGGCCTGCCCTCCATCCTTGAAGCTGCTGCAAGCACTCAGAGCGACCGTGCGCGCCGCTATGGCGAGATTCGAGTTTTGATATCCACCCGCCCTCCATCCGTCAAGTTGCTGCGAAGTTCAAGCTGCAGGAGCCTCCATGGTGAGGAAGTCTCATGCGAAACACCCGGCCCGCTGGGCCGGCACGTCTTGGGGCGCGACAGGGATGAGTTAGGTATAAGGGAAAGCGACGGAGGATGAGGAGGAGGAGGAGGAGGAGGAGAAGGAGGAGGAGGAGGAGGAGGAGGAGGAGGAGGAGGAGGGAGGAGGAGGGGGAGATGCTGGGGGAGGAGGAATCGGATGAGGACCAGCAGGAGGTAGTAGTGGAGGAGGCGGAGTGGAGGCATTTTGGACAATGCTGCACCAGCGACGCGCAACGGAGGAGTTGGAGGAAGCTGAGGAGTTGGAGGAGGAGGAGAAGGGAGGAAGGAGGACGATGCGCGGGATATGAAGCAGCATCAGGGAGAGGAGCGGAGGCGGGATCGGTAGCAGGAGCTACAATCAGTGCGGGTAGGAGAATCAGGATGATCTTGACGACGACGATGATGATGACGATGACGACGAAGATGATGATGATGATGATGATGATGATGATGACGAGGATGATGCTGATGATGACGATGACAATGATGACGATGCTGATGATGCTGATGATGATGGTAAAGACGAAGGTGATGATGATGCTGATGATGGTGCTGCTGCTGATGATGACGCGGACGACGATTCTGCTGATGATGCTGATTCTAATAAGATGATGACGATGGTGATGCTGCTGCTGATGATGATGACGATGCTGATGCTGATGAAGGTGATGATTCTAATGGTTATGGTTGTTGTTATGCTGCTGATATTGATTATGGTAAGGATGATGCTTCTTCTGATGCCGGCGATGGCGATGGTGATGGCGATAATGCTGATGTTGCTGCTGATGATGTTGATGATGCTGATTATGATGACGATGACGATGATCATGAGGAAGATGCTGTTGCTGATGATGGCGACGGCGATTACGATGATGATGCTGCTGATGACGATGATGTTTCATGGTGACTCTGCTGCTGCTGATGATAGTGATGATGATATCATGGTGATGATGATGGTGATGATGATGTTGATGCTGATGCTGCTACTGATGATGCTGGTGAGTATTATGATGATGGTGATGACGATGATGACGATCAGGAGGCTGATGATGCTGGTGATGATGATGATGATGATGATGATGATGATAATGATGATGATGATAACGATCATGATGATGATAATGATGATGATGATGATGATGATGGTGGTGATGATGATGATGATGATGATGATGATGATGGTGATGATGATGATGATGACGATGATGATGGTGATGACGTGGTGAAGACGCTGACAGTAACGATGACGGTAGCGATGACGAGGAGGAGGAGAAGGAGGAGGAGGAGGTACAGGACAGTAAACGAAGGATGTATTACCAATGCGTCACCACGGCATCCCGGCCTAGGCGTTTCTGTTCACTACAGACACCTCCCCACTAGAAACTCTGCATCCCATTGGTTTACCCCCTTGTTTGCAGAAGGAGTTGCGCTGCAACGTTCTAGTTAATGATGCGGTATGAGAAGAGTAGCACATAAGCTTTGGACCTATGGCAAGGTGGCCATAGTTTTTGTTAACGCTCTCCATCTGAACGTTTCGTCAGTATTTGACTTCTAGCCATGCAGCTTGAAGATGTCTGTAATGAGAGCCCATTTTGAATACGATGAGACATGTTTCCTTGTGGCAGCCGCCAGATTTAATGACGAATGTGCGCAGCGCCAAGTCAGGGACCACATTTTGAAACTGTGCGGCAGTAGCAGCGGGAAGCCTTTACGACGAACGTGCGCGGCCTTCAGTCGAGAATCACCATGCACACCTGCACGCTGGCAGTTCGACTCAGTCTCAGTCGCCCTTGCCACCCGCTGGTCCGCCGCTGGGTTGCCGCGTGAGGCCTCGGTTAGCCGCGTTAGGCGTGGCCTGCCCCCGCTGCCTCCGCTTAATTCTAATTCGTCGCTGCGTAGCCCGCTTTGACCTGACTCGCCGCCGGCGCGTTCGCCCGCGGCCGCTGACTAAATAAGTATCCCCACAAGGGGTTCCACGTAGGCCTGGCTTTCGTTCAACTTATGACGCCGCGCGGCTGTCCGCTAGCGGTTGCGAACAAAAAAGTATCCCTACCAGCCCATTTTGAAACCCTGCTCTTCAGAGCTGAAGGGAAAAGGGACGAAGAGGCACATCTAGGGAAGCGTAGCGAGCAAGGGGGTGGCCTTGGAAGGCCTCTTCGGGCCATCCCTGGGTGCCGCGTGGGGGCGAGGGGAAGAGGAGGAGCAGGAGGAAGATGATGATGATGATGATGATGATGATGATGATGATGATGATGATGATGATGATGATGATGATGATGATGATGATGATGATGATGATGATGATGATGATGATGATGATGATGATGATGATGATGATGATGATGATGATGATGATGATGATGATGATGATGATGATGATGATGATGATGATGATGATGATGATGATGATGATGATGATGATGATGATGATGATGATGATGATGATGATGATGATGAGGAGGAGGAGGAGGAGGAGGAGGATGAGGAGGATGAGGACGAGGAGGACGAGGAGGACGAGGACGCGGATGAGGACGGGGACGATGAGGACGAGGACTAGGATGAGGACGACGCGGACGAGGACTCATGTAACCATCTAAAGGTATTCTTGCGACTGCTTCTGCTGCTGCTGCTGCTGGTGCTCTCTGGGAGTTTTTTGGGCCCTTTTGGAACCATCTTGGTAACCCTGGAAGGCTTCTTGGGATCACCTTGGAGGCCATCGATTACAGGATGGGGGGGTCCCCAACTCAGCTCCCCCTTCAGGAGCCGGCAAACCGCTTCTTGGGGTTCTCTTGGAGCGCTCTTGGGCGCTCTTGGAGCGGTCTTGGGCACAGTCGGAGCATCTTAGGAGCCATCTTGAGCCAGCTTGGGCTATCTGAGCCATCTTGGAGGTCATCTTGGGCTCTCTGAGGCCGCTCGGGGGCCTCTTGGGGGCCTCTTGGGGGCCTCTCGGGTGCCTCTTGGGGCCCTCCTGGGACCCTCTTGGAGCCCTCTTGGGGCTCTCTCGGGGCTCTCTTGGGAGCCCTGGAGCGCCTCTTGGGGCCATCTTCGAGGCTATCGATCAAAGGAGGGAGGGTCCAGATCGAGGCCCCCCCCCCCCTCGGGGGCCACGATCCTCGTGAGGGGTGTCAAACATTGGCCCTCCCAGGGGCCGAACAAAATCCTGCAACCGATCGCGGCCCCTCCCGTCCAGGTCCAGGGGAAGAGGTCGGGGGAGGGGTCAAGACACCCTCTCCGCACGCAAGCCGTCTAGCTCACTCCCACCCGCCCTCCCACCACATAAGTGGCATCCAAGCCTCGGCATAGCCAGGGGTCGCCACTGGATGACTGGATGAACAGCCACTGGGAGCCAAAGAGGGCGCCAGGTGCGCGACACTCGCCGCGGGCTCCACATGCGGTTGGTGTGCCATCCTTGTAACAGAAAATGTTGCCCCCCCGTCCGCATGGTCCAGATGCTGATGTAGGGGGGCGTCAGCATTGTTCTGGGCCTGCGCACAGTAAGCATCATCATGCGGACACCACCGCCGTCCCTGTCAAAAAACAATACGAAGAGATCGCGGGTGGCCAGCACAATACCCACGACGTTGTCGCAATGTGCATTTTGCATTTCTTTTGACACGGATGGTGGTCCTGCACAAAGCTGTTTTTACTAAGGGTGCCCCGCCATCCTTGTCAACAAAATATTACAACGTGCTCACAGGGCGCCAGCGCACTGTCCAGATTTTGCTGCAATGTGCACTTCGTATTGTTTTTTTTTGCCAGGGATTGTGGAGGGTGTTTGCAGGGTGGGCCCCGCAATGTGCATTTTGTATGGGTTTTTGACAGGGATGGTGGGGGGGTGCCCGTATGGTTCCCGGTTGGCTGCCTGCCAGGTGGGGGAGGGGGTGTTTCTTAAGAGGAAGCAGTGATAACCCCCTCACCGAAGGGGACGAGGGGTTTTTGGAAGAGGACAGAAGGACTTCGTTAGAC